TATTTGCGTAAACAAACTTAGGGTGGATTGCAAAAAGCGAACTTGAGTCAAGCTCGACTTGAACATTGCAACCAATAGCGACAGAGTATGAGTTTTCCCCTCAAAAAATACTCTGCCACTATTTATTGCAAAGTAAAGTTTAAGTCGAACTTGACTCAAATTTGCTTCTTGCATTCCACCTTTACTTTTTAAGATATTGCCGTGCTGTACGTTGAAAAAACGTTTTTTTACGTTAAAAAATCGTTTTAAAAACATTCATAAGTTAACTGAAAAACTTCGTGAGTTATTTAAAAAAAAACGTTGAAAAAAAGCTGAAAAAAACGATTAAATTATCATTAAAAATAACGTTCACAAAAAAACGTTTAAAAAACGGTTTCATTTATTACCTATTCAATTCAGTTCATATATATTCTGAAATAGTTGTTACATTCACGGAAGTTTACAAATAATACATGTACTAATCTTAAGTAAAAACCTTGTAAATAAAAGCTATTAAATATATTGATTAATGCAAATAGTAATATTAACTATCAACTGCAGTAACAAAACAAACATTAAAAGTCGAAGGAGTAAAAATACTAATAAAGATAATAATAAAAGATTTAGTTGTAACAGTAATAGCAATACAATGATAAAAGTGCAATGATTATATTAAAAATAAAATGACAGAAAAAAAAAATTACAATAATCATAAAAAATACTAGGAATTTAGTATTAGCCACATAAATACACACATGTACGGACACATACAATTACACACATACACATACATGTTTTAAAGTTCTTTCACTTCTACATGATTGTTTTCATTTATACATTTACATTTTTCAATTTTTTTTTGCTCTTTAACTTTTTATTTTATTTTACCCCTTACTTAAATGTAAATACGGTTGCCTTTATTAGCCCAGCTCTTTCTTTTGAAGTTGTCTCTGAATGTCCTGTGTTTTTAAAATCATCGTATTTTTTTAAAAGTTCACAAATACATATAAACACATATACTTATATCCCCCTGTATTCAATACAGGTATGTATACATTATTTGCATACAAACATAATATACACCCGTATATGTAGATTCGTATATACTATACACAAATAAACGTATATACACACACGTACAAATACATACACACATACATATACACACATACAAACACATATATTTACTATGCTTTCTGGGAACATTTTGTAGTGTATAAAAATGTTAAAAGTAGTAAAATACTTTTTTTATTTTATTATTAAAAAAATACGATGATTTTTAAAACACGGGACATTCAGAGACAACTTCAAAAGAAAGAGCTGGGCTGATAAAGGCAACCGTATTTACATTTAAGTAAGGAGTAAAAAAAAAATAAAAAGTTAAAGAGCAAAAAAAATTGAAAAATGTAAATGTATAAATGAAAACAATCATGTAGAAGTGAAAGAACTTTAAAACACGAATGTTTGAGAAATTCAAAACACAAATGTTTGAGAACTTTAAAAGGGGTCGTATATTATAAGAAATTAATAAACAAAAAGATACAAAAAAACTAAAAGAAAAACTAGTTAAGGAAGAAATAAGTTGTATAAATATATTCGTGTATATACATACACAAACATGCATACTTACACATACATAAACATATATACATATTGCCTCGCATTGTCGTTTTCATAATAAAATGAATAAAATTCCATCACAACAACATAAAATATATAAAAGCTTCAAATACAAAATAAATGAGTAATAATTTACAATTAGATACTGCATAATAAAAGTAAGTAAAAAAATAAATATATTTTCAATAAATATAATATTTAAAATATATGCTTTTTCATAAGATTGTGATAAAAACACTGATATTCTTAACAATACAATAGTTGATTTTCCTTTTATTTTTATTTATTTTAGAAGTTAACACGGTAAAGTTGATAAAGTTAATGTATCACTATAAATTTAGTTTGATAACTTCTAAAAAGGCTGGCATTATTTAAAGTATTGAAATCCGTATTTAGTAAACTATACTTTAAACTTGCTTTGAATTGCGGAAATGTTTGCTCTGCATTATAAAGAATCTATTTAAAATAGCAATAATGTTAAAAAGTTTTGTTTATCTCAAAAACTACTGCAATTGTGAGAATATTTTGTGCATAAAGAAAAAATATTATTAATGGAACTTTTGATAGAACTTTTGATGGAACTTTTGATGGAACTTTTGATGGAACTTTTGATAGAACTTTTGATGGAACTCTTGATAGAACTTTTGATGGAACTTTTGATGGAACTTTTGATGGAACTTTTGATGGAACTTTTGATGGAACTTTTGATGGAACTTTTGATGGAACTTTTGATGGAACTTTTGATGAATTTTTTACGTATTTTTGATATATGTTTAATATATATACTCAACTTAATTACTTTTAAGGTGCATTCGTATTTTTATTTAAACTTTTGGTTTAAATGATTTTTAGTGATGCAAGGTCGTTGTAAAATGTTATTTTTATGGACGACCACAAACACGAATGTTCGAAAATTTCAAAACATAAATTTTAAGAATTTCAAAACACGCAAGTTCAAGACTCTGGTAGTTGAAAATAAAAGAATGAAAAAAATATTATAATTATAAGATAACAATTAAGTCAAAAAAGTAACAATGCAATTTGAGATCTTGTCTAAAAAAAGAGAAGATCATGTTAGAAGAACCAGACTAAATCCAATAACAGTATTCAATAGAATGATGAATAAAATATTTTCAGAGGTAGAGAATAAATTTAGAACTAAATAAATGAGAAACTCCTAAAAGCATTCAAAAATAGTGCCAGCTCTATGTTGGGTTCCATAAAACAATACAACCTAAGCAGATTATATATTTGCAATGGATTGTATAGATGGTTTTCATAAGAGTTCAGAAATAAAGGATAATCTGAGAAAGCTGAAATCTAGTATTCATTAAAAGTGTTACTACATTTGTTGCAGTTTTACGATATAAGAATATCAACAATAGTTTTAAAAAGTTTTGTTCATCTCAAAAATTATTGTAGCTGTAAAAATATTTTCTGCATAAAAAAAATTTTTCTTGATAGAACTTTTTATGGAGCTTTTCATGAAACTTTTGATGGAACTTTTGAAGAAAGTTTTGATGGAACTTTTGATGGAACTTTTGATAGATTTTTTGATGGAACTTTTGATGGAATATTTGATGAAACTTTTGATGAAATTATTGATGAAACTTTTGATAAAACTTTTGAAAGAACTTTTAATGGAACTTTTATGTATTTTTGATATATGTTTGGTATAAATGTTCAAGTTAACTTTATTATAAGTTGCTTTCGCATTTTTTTGCAAACTTTTGATTTTTAGTGATGTAAGGACGTTGTAAAATGTTGTTTTTTGACTGCTATATTCAGTTTGGACTGTTGCGGATATAACACTTTTAAGCATTGTAAAAACGTCCAAATTGATTAATTTAAGTATGTTTATGATTACGTTGGATTTGTTTTAAAAACGATTTATGAAGATGTTTTAAAAAACGTGGTTGTTGGAGCCCAGGAAGTAAAATGCAACACTAGATTTATCTACCAATACTACAAAAGATTTACCAACAAATGCAAAAATAATAAATCAATAAAGTATTTTAATTTAATATTGAATACTAAATTATATTTATTGATAGGTTTTGAATTTTATGAAATTATCTTTAAACATTTAAAAGTTACAGCAATTTTAGTTTTAGGGAGATGGGAAACTTGCACGTAATTTTCAAACGCTAAAAGATAAAATTTTGAACCCTGTTGTTTGACTTTTCTAAATTGTTGCTACAAATTAACATATGTTGTGTTGAATGTCAAGTTTATAAAGAAATTTTAAGCGAGTAAGAAACCTCTTATTAATATTCCCTTTTTTAATAATTTTAGTTACAATGTTTTACCATAAAATTTGAATTTTAGATTAAATTTTGATAAATTATTCCTAATATACATTTGTATTATATTCCTAATATAGATTTCTACAAAACTATAGACTGAACCCAGCTAGCACTCATAAATTACTTCAACGTATGTAAAAACCATCGTAAACATCGGCTGTTTTTTCCAATGTTGTCTTGTAAATTCCAATGTTGACCCAATGTTTTGTTGTTTCCAATGTTGGTTGTTGGTTGTTGACCCAATGTTTTGTTGTTTCCAATGTTGGTTGTTGGACCCAATGTTTTGTTGTTTCCAATGTTAGTTGGTTGGTTGTTTCCAATGTTTGTTTCCAATGTTGACCCAATGTTGTCTTGTAAATTCCAATGTTGACTGTCTTTAGCATTATTATCAATGAAAAGAATAATATCACGCGACTAAAATCAGGTGGCGTGGTTACAAAGACCCAAGACAAAGGCATTGCAAAAGTTTATTGATTTTTTCAATCTAAACCCAACTTTTATCCAATGTTAATACCCTAATGTTGATTTAATATATATAGATCAACGTTGATCCATTATATTCTACCTAATGTCGCAATTGCTAAACTATATATCTTGATTAAAATCTTCTGTAAGTATTGAAATGCTTAAAGTCACAAGCAAAATAAAAATGAACAGCCGCTTTGAATTTGATAGATAAAAGAAGTTTTTTAATTTAACATAATAAAAACTTTAAACTATATACATTTTCAATAAAAACTGCTTTGTTTAGGTATAAAAAATGTATTTTTAACCACCATTAAGTATGAAGAAGTTCCACAGTGCAGGGTTCATTTAAAGTCAATCTTTAAATAATTAAACTTTTTTTTTTCTATATTACTGTTTTAATAGCTTAATTCTTTAGTTTAAAAAATTAATTTAGAGGAATAGTATCGTTTTAGTTTTATTTTGTTTACTCGGTTTTGTTCATATTTTGATTTAGTTCTTTATTAAATATCAAAAACAAAAAGTTAATGCAAAATAAGAGTGCAATTAAATTGTTGCTAATTGTATAAAAGTTTTGAGGTTTTTATAAAACACTTAATTCATATTTATTTAATTTTATACTTGATCCAGGTGATTATCAGGGAAGAAGGCAAAATGAGGATTACTTTGGCAAAAATTTTGATTATATTCTAGAATTAAAAACATTTCAATATTCAGTATCAAAAGACTTAGTTAAAAACAATAATGAACAATTACAAATTTGGCATTTTCAACCGTTTTGTATAGCAAACAATGCCCATGGTTATTGGCAAAAAAATGTATATAAAACCGTAACAGCTAAAACTGATAGCACTTTTAAACATGAAATGATTTTACGGAACCTTGCTGCATTATCAAATGTCAACAATACTGTTCAACCAACTTTTTGGTTTTACGGTGATTCGTTAAATCTTCTATTTTTCAGATCTTTAAAAGCAACACCTCTATGTAAACTTTTTATTTGTCAGAACACTTATATATGGACATATCCTGTAACAAATCCAGAAAATCCAAATGCTCAACCATATGACAATAAAGACTTTAATCAAACTAAATTTCTTGATAACATCAAAATGGTGCTCATAAATCCTTTAATGATGAATAACAATAGTGTTTTAATTATTAACTTTGGATTGCATATATTAAAGAACATTAATATGAGTCAAGCAAAAGAGCTACTTGATGGCTTTCTTGATATGGTGCTAAATATAAAGTCAAAGGTTTTACCAAATTTTCCAAAAATTTTATGGAAAAGTACAACACCAGCGTATATAGAAAATTTTTTACTCAAACACGGAAAAAATAATTTAGAAAGAACTCTTGTAAAACAGGTATATCAGTATTTGATAAAAATAATTTTAACATTTTTAACAACTTGTGTGTATTTATATATATATATATATATATATATATATATATATATATATATATATATATATATATATATATATATATATATATATATATATATATATATATATATATATATATACAAAATATACAATTTTTTTTTAGAGAGCAATTCATTGGAATTTATACTGTGTAAAAAAAATGTGCGAACTAAATATACCTGTGTTAGATGTATACTGGATGGCAGCATCGTATCCACAAGGTCCATATGATGCTGTACACTATGATAGTCATGTATTTAGTTCAGCAGCCACATTTTTAACTAATTTATTTACTTATTCTCACGAAAGTTTTTAAAAAGTAACAAAAATGAACATAAACAATTTTGACCTTATTTTTACAAAACTATTTTAATTTAAATCTGAAATGTTACTAAATATTTTAAAGTTGTTAACAGTATGTCAAAAAACGAGGATGTAACCATGCAATTTAAAATAAAGCACTTAGACTAGCAGAGCAACTGAAATGTATATATTTACATATATACTTATTTGTTTCTTTAAAATTTGGGTATTGCGTTCTTTTTTATATCATTGTTGCAAATAAATTCTTCATACGAAAGACATGGATATCAATTAAGGACGAGTTAGTAAAATATTGTTTTACACTTAGTTTTTCTTTTAGTAAAATTATTCAAAGAATTAGAAATTTATTTTTTAAGATATTATTTTAAGCCATCGGTTCGGCAAAAAAACTTCAAGTAAAGTCTGCTTTTAAAATTACAGGATAAGTTACGCAAAATGTCATTTTAATAAACTAGCCTAAAGCCAAAGCTGATGACACGGGGGAAGGGCACAACTCTTAGTTATTAAAGAAACTCTTCTTTATCTAGAATTTTCTCATTAAAAAAAAAAAAAAACGTGGTTTTTTGAGCCTTGAACCCAGGAAGTATAATGCAAGAATAGATTTACCTACCAATGCTACAATAGTTTTAACAACAAATGCAAAACAATGAATCAATAAAATATTTTAATTTAATATCGAATACTTATTTATATTCATTTATAGGTTTTGAATTTTATATAATTATCTTTAAGCATTTGAAAATTATAACCATCAAAAAATTACAGCAATTTTAGTTTTAGGGAGATTTTCAAACGCTAGTTATTAAAGAAAGTCTTTTATATCTAGAATTTTCTTCGAAAAAAAAAAAGTTCTTTAGAAAAAATGTGAGGAAGCCACCGCGCCTCCCCAGTGTTGTTAATTCTGAATCCTCATTTGCATTTTATTTAAAAAATAGACACCCTTAAAGTATTACTAGCTTTCCAAAGTAAACTCATTTTAGACTTAAAAGAAGACATATAAATATAGTATATACATAATAATAAGATATGTTACATTTTGATGAAATAATCAACATTAAAATTTTTTATTATAAAGCAGTTGTAGAAAAAATTACTTTAATTATATTTTGTATATTATTTCAATTTTATTTTGTATATTATTTGGTTTAAAGTTTTATCTTGGCTTTTTAACATTTTATCATGGTTTTTAAATATTTTTGCATAGAGGTGTATTGTTATTTCACTACAGACATTGTATTTTTATTAAAAGTCAACCATATATTGTAAAGAGCATCTTGAAAAGATCCTCATGATCTTCTAGAAGTCCTGTCGTTACTAATGTAAAAAATTGTAAAATATATTTAGTTATTGTAATATTAAACGGTAAAATATAAAAAAATAAAAAAATAAAAATAAAAATAAAAATAATTAATGATTCAATCTTAATAAAACAGCATAAATTGCAAAACATTTACCCCATTACATATTGTATTAATATATAATTGGTTATTGATAATCATTGTTATTATCAATAAAGAGACATATTTTACATTTTTAATTATGACATTAGAAAAGTCAGCACTCCTAAGGAATGTACATATATACAACATGTACATTAGGCAGGTCCGTTTTTAGGGGTTGAAAAAACTACAACTTTGCCAATTTATTTTCCCATTTTATGTTGCCATAAATTCTTAGTCCTCCCTAGGAGTTTCAATATTTCATATTTATTACATTTTTTAGAGAATTTTTTTTTTTATTTTGCACCGCCGGACCTATGCGAAGTTATAATCACAGCGCGCAATAATAAATTTTATGAAACTGCGCTGCGCTTGTAACTTTTTAAATTTAAAATGACAATATCAACACGTTCAAATAATGAAATATTTTTATTAGAACAAACCAACGAAATTGGTTGCAGAACTTTGCCTACAAAAGGCGACGTTTTAAGATATTTTTATCACTGCTGCAGATTACTGAATTTCCAAAAAAAAAAAAAAAAAAAACACCGAAATTATTTCCTGCCCTCTAGATATAAATCACGAGCTACTATGTAATGATAAAATATGTCAGCCCAAATGTGTTGTTTCTGCTCTTAGAAAACCGTGGCTTATGGGTGGTATACCACACATTAGTTGCAGAAGTATTAGGTAACTATTGATTTAAATAATGTTTATAGTTTATTACGTAATTATTGATAATTATTGATATAAAAATTTAAGCTGACAAATGACAAATGAAAATTTGTTAAGTTATTTCAGGGAAAATGTTTCTAAATTAATATATCATCACAAAAAACTAGTATCATATCGTTCAAAAAAAACGGAAACACAAAAGCTGCATGAAAAAAATTTTTCGGCATTAGAAAAAGAATTGTTTGACATAGGGCACCCAAAACTTTATGAAATAATTGAAAAAGATAGAATTCGATCAAAAGATGCAAAAAAATGCAATATTTTATTTTATGAAGATCAAAAAACTGCAAGAACAATGATAATTGACAAAATAGACAAAAAATATCAAAACGTTTATTCCAACAGAGAGTTTTGCTAAAGGAAAGCCAAGGAGTTAGAGCAAAAGGAAGAATCTGCCACATTAATCTCAAAGTTAAAACAATTTTCATCAAATAGTAATTGTATTAATAAAAATCAAGATTTATTTTTGTTAGAATGTCAAGATTTATTTTGATAATGAAGAATTTCAATTTAATAATTATGATGAAATTGAAAAACAATCAACTAACATAAAACAAAAGTAACAGTAATAATAGATATTAATGAACTTATCAAAAAAACTTCAACATTTTGTGGGCGTTTCAAAATTTCTGTTGGAGTACAGACAGGATTATTAGCATTATTTTTAAGATGTGGAAATATCAATCTTAATGAAGTAAAACTTTCAAAAACAAAAGTAGAAAAAATAAGAAAAGATTTGTATGTAAGTGAATCAGAGTTAATTAAGGAAAAAATAAAAGAAAAATGTAAAAATAGTAATTTAATTTTGCACATTGATAAAAAAAAAGTTATAACTTTAAAGAAGACTATATTTCTAAAGTAAGCGAACTTTTAGCTATTATTGTTACAAGTCCAGACTGGAATTTAAATACAAATGGAAAACAACAGGATGAGCTGCTAGGCATAGTTGAATGTCAATCGGGGAAAGGATATGATCAAGCATTTGCATGTTTTAATGTTATAAAAAAGTTTGGAATTGAAAGCATTATAATTGGGATTTGTGCTGACACAACAGCATGTAACACTGGTTGTAATAAGGGTTGTATAAGTATTTTAGAAGAACTTTTAAATCGACCTCTGTTGAGACTTCTTTGTAGAAAACATTCCCAAGAAAGACATATTTTACATGCAATAAATGCAATCACTAAAACAGAAAGCAAAGGTTCATCAAAATCTACTTATACGAGATTCAAAGCTGCTTGGCCAATGCATTATGAAAATGTTCAAAATAATATGGATCAGTCATCAATGTTTCCGTGGTGCGAAGTTAGTTGAACCCCATTAGAAGATATAGCTAAAAAAAAATTATCTTTTTGCAAAAAAGCTTTGGAACTTAATACTTTTCCCAGAAATGATTATAAACATCTGTGTCAATATGTCATTGTTTTTCTGGAAGGAAGGGAGGCATTTCCTGAATTTATTATACACAAACCAGCTGCTGAACATGAAGCTAGATTTATGGCAGACGCTTTATACATTTTGGCAATGAAGCTTACTCAACCAATCATAAAGTTTTTAACCCTAGAGGAAGAAATAGTATTTTCAAAGGCTGCGATATATGTAGCTTCAGTTCATGCAAAAAACTTTCTTCAATCAATTCAAATTGTTTCTGCTGCTCATAATGATTTATGTACAGTTAAAGAGATGATAAAAATAAGAGATTTTGATGCTGATGTTTCTCAAGCTTTTATATCAAACGATCTTAGTCACAGTTATTATCTTTCTGAAGAAACGGTCTTTTGTTTATTTGATAAAATTCTTGACAACATAATTAAAGAAAAAGTTGTTCAGCAGTTGTTAAAAACAAATTTACCTGAAATCTTTAAACTTAAAAAGTTTAAGCCTGTAGAAATAAATGAACATTTAGAACCTAATGATTACGTTGATCGAAATTCTTGGCTAATTTCTAAAATAGTTCCTTACTTATAAAAGTGGTTAGAAAGTTCAGATTTGTGGACTTATGATTCTGAGTATAAAAATATGCAAAGGTTTATAAAAAGTGTGTCAATGACTGTTGCGAAAGAGCTATTAAATTGGTAAAAGATATTATCGATTCAACAAATAAAGAGGAGAAGTTACAAGACCTTTAACTGGTTTTAAAGGAACACAGAGTTAATTTTCCATTTTATAAATGTAACTGGTCAAAAGAAATACTTAATAAATTGTAAGAAAAGTTTAACTTTTTATAAGAAAAATTCAACTGAATTTTTTATGTATATTATTTACAAAACGTATTTGTAAAACCTTTGGTCAAAGTCACATACATTTTTAACAACTTTAATTTTTTATCTTTATTAAGTGCAACATTTGGATTCCTTATTAAACAAACTTTAAAAAGTGCAAGTTTTATTGAGTTTTTTAATCAATGTTTAAGAGTATTTAGACAAATATACAATTAAAAACATAGTAAAAACCAGGTCTTTAAAAGAAACCGGGTTATATTTCAAAATGTGTTATCTTGAGAAATTTTTAATATTTTGAGCTCAAATTTAGTACCAATCTTCCTAATAGTAGACCCAGCTCACTCAAAAAAATTTATAAGTTTTATTGGTCCTTGATCCAATTAAAAATGCAATTTAACGAATAATTGGTCAAAAATGGCTTTTTTAAAAATATTTAAACCCTCAGGGAGGTCAGGAAAATTGAAATATATATATATATATATTTTTTGGAATTGTTTTGTATATCAACGTAGAATGAAAAAATAAAGTGGCAAAGTTATAGTTTTTCTGACCCCTAAAAACGGACCTGCCTAATGTACATATATATAATAATGTATATATATAAGTTATGTAGATATATCTGCAACCACTACACCTTTAAATTTTTTCATAATTTTATTTACAATGAGTTATAATAGATTAGCTCGAGGGAAAACAAAGCCAAAAATTGTTTAAAATTTTGGTACCGTCTGATGTACCAAAATTTTAAACAATTCGTATAATTAGTATAGTTGTTATTTTAGCAGGAAGTATAAATGGCGCCCTTGCGTTAAAAAAGTATAAATTTGAAATGAAGTTTGAATCTATAGAAGCTGTAATTGAAGTAAAATACCCTCTTAAATGTTGACTGGATAATTTTTTAACAACTGCTCGAAATATCAAGAAGTATTCTATGCAAAAATCACGATCTATGTAAAATAATCGCTTTTTGGATATATTATTACTAGGTGAAAGCATCAAAGTTTTAGAATATTTCTACTTTTTGTTTTAACCTAATCTTTTGCTTTCTTGTTTAGTTATAGGTTTGCTACGTTCTTAGTTAAAAGTTTTTTTTTGGACAAGAAACTTATTATATCTCCATCCTTGATTTAAAACAAAAATTGCTTTAAATAGGTACACGTGTAAAAAATTTACCCTATTTTTAATATAGATTATTATATATCATTGAAAAGAGGCTAAAATTAGCACTGCCATTTTTTTACAAATTTCATTACAAAATAACAATTCTAGAATTGCTTATGCTTATTTAAGTAACAAAATATGAGTACAAGGATTGCCTTATAAAAGTGCAATCAGTTTTAAAATGTCAGATTTGGTACGGTAATTTTGTTATCAAACTTTCTTGTTTTAAGCGCATTATTTTGCTTTATATAAAATATTTATATAAAATATGACATGCACATAGAAAACAGGTTTTTAAAATTTTGTCAGTAGTTTCAAAATTGTTATCAACATTTCTTTAATATAAATATGATGTTTGATCAATAA